CCGGCCCCGCGGCTCAGTGGCACCAAGAGGCTCTCCTCATGGCACAGACCAGCACTGGAGCTTCCCTGGCACAGCACAGCACAGCACCAGGGCTACCCTGCACAGCACAGACCAGCACTGGGGCTCTCCTGGCATGGCACAGACCAGCACCAGGGCTCCCGGCACCCACCAAGTCTCAAGCCCTCCAGAGACCCTCAACACCTGCCGTGTGCCCCAGCTGGAAGTGCCCCAGGATCCCATCAAGGCACAGAGCCCTATGGGTTCCTCAGCTGGACTCCCACTGGGAACTCACCAAACCTCCTCCAGCCACTCACCTGCACCCCACTGCCTGCCTGGCTCCTGTCCCCCACCCCACTGCACCCCACCTGCCTTCCACAGCCAAACATGTTATGTGTTACTGGCACAGCTCAGCACCAGCAACACTGCTGCCAGCCCTGTGCTTCCTGGTCTCCTTCCTCTGTGAATTTCCATCTTCCTGGGCACCATCAATACCCAGGCTGGGTGCTGGGCTGGGCTGTGCCCAGTCACGGCCATTTTCCTTACATTTCCTCATGGAATTCTGCTGTTCCCTCCAGCCCTGCTGCCTGGGGTGAAGGGGAGGAACCCATCAGTGCCTCAGCGATGGCCATTACGGGGACATGGACCAGGCAAAGAGGACACCCCCAGGTCACCCTGCAGCTGACAGCACATGCACCTCACTGCAACGACCCTGGCAGAGGGCACTGCGTTTGCTCTTTTGCCACCTTCTCCAGGTGCAGCTGCTCTGCACCATCTTACGGTGGTGAGGACCACTCTTCGTGACAGCCTGAAACAGCAGTGATGGCCCCAGGCTGTGGCTTGGGCAAGCAATGGCATCTGCAACAGCATGGAGAGAGTTGCTCCAAAACCTGCCAGCGTGCCCCATGGGCACCCATCCCACATCCGGGACCACAGTCCCAGGAGCTCTGCCTGTGGGCACACCTTCCCTGCCTGTGGGCACACCTTCCCTGCCTGTGGGCACACCTTCCCCTGCCTGCACTGCACTGCTGCCTTCCTCCTGTGCACGGGCTGCATGCAGTGCCACCATCCTTCCTGTGGCATGTGCCAGCACCCCCAGCGCTGGTGATACTGGGTGGCAGCTCCCCACCCCACTCCCAGTTTTTCCCCAGCACACCTGCACTGTGCCCCCACAGCAGCCCCCAAAGGGCAAAGAGCAGGCACAGGGCTCCTGCCTGCAGGGCTGGGGCCAAGCCCAGCAGGGCTCCCAAGGGCTGACAGTGGTGCTGAGGAGGACCTGGCAGGCTCTCAGCCCCCCCAGCAGCTGCATTCCTCCTGAACCTGTTTGGCAGGGCCCCGTGCAGGTGCCAAGGAAAAGGCATCCGGGCTGGGCTTTTCCTGGTCATGCCCTGCTTCACTCCGGTGCCGAGGCAACAAGGAGGAGAAAGAGGGTTTGCTGAAGCCCGGTGCCCCCCATACTGCTGCCAGTGCCCCCCAGAGTCACCCGTGGCCCTGAGTGCTGCCAGTGAGCCCCAGTTTCTCACCCCTGTGCTGCCCTGGTGGATCCCACAGAAAGTCACGAAGGGGAAGAAAGAGGAGGCAGAAACAAGTGAAAAATGACTCCATTTAATCCCAAAGACCTCCCCAAGTTCCAGGGTTTTGGAAGCCCCCTATGGCCCCCCCAGCCCCTTCTCTGTGCAGGCCACGGGGCCCCAGGCTGAGCACACCCCTGGGAGTGCCCCATGGCTCTCTGCTCCGGCGCAGGGAGAAGGAGCTTTCCGAGGCATCCAGCCCCTTCCTCAGCTCCACCAGCAGCCCACGCCAGAACCAGCCCCCAGCCATGTCCCACCGCCCCGACCCAACCAGAGCCCTTAGGGAGGTGTCCTGATAAAGACCATCCTGGTGGAGTAGACCAGGTCCACCAGGTAGGCAATGAGGTTGAAGATGGTGAGGAAGGTGACCCCCAGGTGCCTGTCCCATGAGCAGCTCCTGCCACAGTTTTGGGGGCGGCCCCGTCCCCTGAAGCTGTAGAGGGGCCAGATGACGGTGGCGGTGATATACATAATCAAGGCCAGGAAGTTGTACCCCACCAGCACCTTCTCCAGTGAGCAGGGAATGTAGGTGAGGCACCGGCCAATGGTGAAGATTATGATGAGGAAGGTGAAGATGAAGCAGATGGAGTAGACAGCCACACACCACATCAGGCCAGGCTCCTTACCGTATTCATCCAGCAAGGAAAAGATAAGACAAGCCACGTAGGCTTCGAAGACCTTGAGGAGCCCAGGCACAGTGGAGAGGAAGCTGCTGATGTCCCCTGGCTTGGCACGGGTGAGTCCCACCTCGACAGCGTAGGCGAGGAAGCAGAGGCAGGAGGCAGTGGTGGCCACGGCCTGCCGGGCACAGTAGCTGGTGTTGCAGGGGCTGTTGATGAAGGTGGCAGGGAAGACCACTGAGGAGGTGAAGACCATCAGTGCCGCCAGCATGGAGAAAGCCGAGGTGAAATCGTCCCAGGAGAGAGGCAGCATGGGGTAGAGCTCCAGCAGCTCCACCAGCAGCACCAGTAGTGTCACGCTGAAGCAGAAGCACCAAGTGAACATGCACCATGTCCCATAGGACCCCCCGAAGTCCCCGGTGGAGGCCACCAGGCTGAAGGCGAGGCAGGACAGCACGATGGCCAAGAGCCGGGCGATGCCCACCCAGGAGGTCAGGGCGCGGTGGTTCACCGTGGCCATGGTCCCGGCGGCTCTGCTGCCCACGCCGCGTGCCGGGGAGCGATGCTGCTCTTATCTGGGCGCTGG